AGGGAATTGGTAGCAACACCAGAGGAGCCAAGCACCAGCTACTGGTTGATAGAGCAGTCGCCCAAGACTGTAACGAGCAGGAAGACCAACCAGTGTACCGCCTGGATCGACTACAAGAAAGCTTACGACTCAATGCCCCACACGTGGATACTGGAATGTCTGGACTGTATAAGATCAACAGGAACCTAAGGGCCTTTATCCAGAACTCGATGGGAATGTGGAAGACAACCCTAGAAGCCGACTCCAAGCCAATTGCCCAAGTCAACATCAAATGCGGCATATACCCAGGAGATGCGCTATCACCACTGCTGTTCTGCATAGGCCTGAACCCCCTCAGTCAGACTCATCACAAAGACTGGTTACGGGTCCCAATTCCGAAGTGGAGTACCATTAGCCACCTGCTCAGAGGGCAACATAGGTGATATCCAAGACAGCTACAAATACCTTGGTATCCCACAGGCTAACGAACCAGTGAGGAAGCTGCAAGGAAGTAACCACCAACCAAATACCTCCAGAGAGTAAGGCAGGTCCTGAAAAGTCAGCTGAATGGCAGGAACAAGATCCAAGCCTCAACATGGTACGCGACTACCAGTCATCAGATACCCTGCTGGGATCATAAGCTGGCCAAAGGAGGAGATAGAAGCCACAGATATCAAGACAAGAAAGCTCCTCACCATCGCACGGAGGGGTTTTACCCCAAATCCAGCACCCTGAGACTGTACGCTAAGCGGAAAGAGGGAGGCCGAGGACTAGTGAGCATCAAGGCCACTATCCCAGGATGAAACATCAAAAATCCAAGAGTACATCAGAAAAATGGCCCACAAAGGATGAACTGCTAGGTGAATGTCTCATGGCAACAGAAACCCGATAAGAGTTGCGGAGGAAGAGGAGCAGACAACCTGGAGGGACAAGCCCCTACATGGCATGTACCACTGCCAAATTGGAAAAGTGGCTGATATTGAGAAGACCTACCAATGGCTGGAAAAGGCTGGACTCAGAGACAGCAGGAGAGGCACTGATCATGGCAGCACAAGAACAGGCCCTAGGTAAAGAGCCATAGAGGCCAAGATCTACCAGAGAGTAGATCTGACCCAAGTGCAGACTATGCAAAGATGCCCCTGAGACAGTCCAGCACATCATCAGTCTGAGCCCCCGCTCATGTATTGATGCATGCATTATACACAGGTGTGGTGGACTGCTAAACAAAGATGTAATGGTATGGAAATACTTTGAAATAAATGTTAATACCTAATAACCAAGTAATAGATTTGGTGCCCCGTACAAATTTACTGACTGACTGGCACTAGAACCCTGATACCTGATCATAATTTGGTACCCTAACGCTAACTAATATTTTAGTACCCTAATACCCTGATATAATTGTACCTGATCATTACTTGGTACCCTGGTACCCTGATACCTGGCACAAAAATTGTATTTTAGTACTGTCATACCCTCCCCAGCAAACATTGAATTAATTTGAAGGTATAATTGTCGTCCAAAAGAGCCATTTACCCAGGTGAAACCAGGTGTGTGTTAATTACATACAGAGTAAGAAATTAAGTGTGAGTGCATCTCTGAGTGAGTGTGGGTATGTGTGTGTATCATTCTGATATACAACATAATTATAGACCAGAACGTCTACACTGGCATACAGTGGCACTGAAGTGATATCTTGACATTCACCAACACACACACACACACACACCACACACACACACACACATAAACATATATATATACATTTATACATCTCCCACTATCTTCGGCCCGATGTTCTCAGTGTTTCGTTTAGAATGTTTGTGGTCACTCACCCTCAATACATGTCCTGACCAAGTATATAGTAATTAGTAATTCCACACACATTAATAACATATAGGGAAGGACATTTTGACGTCTCAGTACACTCTCTCTCTCTCTTACACACAAACACACACATACACACAGGCATTAGTACACAGTGATTATACAGTCAACACATCTACCTACATCTGAACAGTAATTACAGCCAACCTGAGAAGTAGGTTTCTCCTGTCCTCTGTTATCTCCTCCCATCTTGTCCTCTCTTGTCTCCCCTTTTCCTGTGTTATCCTCCCTTCTCCTCTACTCCTTTCTCTTCTTCTCTTCCAGGTCCCTTTTCTCTTCTCTTCCACTTTACTCCTTTTGTCTCCTCTTCAGTCTTTCGTTAATAGTGTAACATCATTATGACATCATCTGATAGACAGTGACAAGAATAAGCCTTGCATTACATACACACACACGTACACAACTTGACATATATCTAATGTACATCGGAGCTCCAGTAGCAGTAATTATAGGCAGACAGCAGTTTTATCTATATCAGCACATTAATTACATACTGACCTGGTCCAACCACACAGAACAGTACAGAGCGCATTAATTACATACAGTTAACAGAGAAATGGGACAAGGTGACATCTCCACACTCCTCTCTTGACATCATCTGAGAACTTCTCTGGCTGGATGTGTGTGTCTGTTCTACAATAGTCAGATCCAAAGAGTTTAAAGGTGGGATCAATTTCTTTTTTTCCCTTTTCATAAGTAGTAATAAAAGAGCAAGGAATCATTTTTGGATTGGATTTTGAGAATCTGAATCAAAGTTTCCAAACTCATCTTTATTATCTTCTCTGTAGTGTTGTGTCAAAGTTAAATATGTAGTTTGAAAATGGTAACAGTTTTACCTCATCACAAGGATAATGAATTATTTTGTTATACAAGATATGGTCCATATTTCTTCCAAACCTTCTTACTGTACTCTCCTTTATAACAAAAGCTATTTTTTTTCTTGTTATTTTCTGTTGTAATCATGTCAGTGAGACCTTAGATAAAGTAACCATCTGCGAGGATACATTGTATTTTAGCATGCATTGTTAGTATTTATACTGTCAGTTGATCAAGTAATCAAGTCCAAACCAGATCTCCTCAGGCTTCTCACTTCTTTTTATTTTATTTTTTTGTCTTTTTCATAGGAGCAACTTGTATAAGGGAGTCTTTTCCCTTCCCATATTTTTAATAGAAAAATTACGTGTTCTAGCGGTACATCAAAATTTGACACCACGCCACTGACACACCCTTTAACAAACCGTCACCGCAATCATGAAATATCATCAACAACATGTTTTGTATTTCCTGACTGAATTTCACATGACTGACAATTGCGCCGCGTTTCATGAGTTTTCGAGCAGGTTGTGGCCTTCAAATATGCGATTCATTTGGAATTAAAATAATAATAATAATAACCCTTACAGATACAATATGGCCTTCGCACGGTCAGTGCTCGGGCCCTAATAACTTCATTTGTTAAAAAAGCTTCATTTTGTAAAATGTGTAAAAGGTGGATACAGTTGAATAGGAGCACACCTCCTTAAAATGCTGAACATTTTGAATTGGAATGGCATCTGTGGCTGAAAGCATGCAGCAGTGGCAGTCAACTAAGAAACATACATTCATATGAATTAATGTTTCCTTGAAGGTCAGCATGTTGAAGTCAGACAATGGAAGAGATTTATGACAAGAAACGTATGCAAAGTGATTTGGGGCAGTTTCAACGTCTTTATGTATTTTATCTGTTAGGATTATTCCCTAAAACTATCTGGATCTCAGATAAATGTTCTACATGCTCTACAGTCTCTCAAGTTTGTTTTTTCTTAAAGCTCTAAATGAGAAACTGAACCTCACACCATGTGCTTATGTGCCATGTGCTTTAACCACTCTGCCAGTGAGGAGCACGGCGTGTGTGAAATAATTGCTACTGTTGAAAAGCTCTTAATAGTGACACACTAATTATAAACTGTTGCAGGTATAATCAATCATTGAATCAGAGTTAGCTGAGGGTTTGAAATAAGACTGCTCCACTAGTAGTAGTGCTGCCCTGCTTCACTGAACACACTGATGGTCAGTTCAGTTGCAGCAGTAGCAGTAGCACATGAACACTTCTTGCTGGGACTCTTTCAGGAGCTGGGCTGTCAAGCAGCAGCAGCAATCACAAGCTTCAGAAAATGCTAATATTTCAGTTAATATTTACTTCTCCATAGTGTTGCATGTGAAAAAAGGATGCAATGTCTCAAGGTGGATATGTGAGTGTCCAGTGTCCTCACCCTTACATGACTATTACACAACTATTGTTTAGTAAAAAATGAGCTCCAAGACAAAGAACATAACGATCTGATTGGTTGTTTTCATCCAGGCTCAGCTGATTCTTGCAAATTCACTAGGAGGCAGATTATCTGGCTCATGTTCTACTGTCAGGATGGTACAGTTTCAGCAAATATGACAAGAAGTTATTTTTTATAAAAGTTGCCTAGTGCAGCTTCAATAATGAAAACACACCTCTTTATCAATAAACAAATGCCTCTCCAAACTACAAAATGCCTCTACAAAAATAAATGGGTATTAAGTTTCAATGAAAATAAATTTAAATCTTGAGGCAGCAGGTAATTGTTAGGCACGAAAACTCTTGGCACTAAAATCCCTGATTGGCCGAGAGGGGAATGCAACCAAGCTGCTCTCAATCATTGTCCCCACACCCTGTGCAGCAGAGGAATTTTAACGTTCAGATAAAACTAATAGGAAAGAAGGAAGAATAAATGGCAATAAGTACAAAAACGTTAGAAACTAAGCTACAAAGTGGAAACACTTTCTGATTAAGGTCTTAATGCTAACAATCTGAACAGGTGATCAGCTGAGGAAATTAAACAGGACTTACATTATGATATATTATTGTGCCTATGTGTGAATAACAAAACTATTACCCTAATGTTATCTGTGTAGACGGAACACGAAATGCAGGAGGAGTTTTATACATTGTGATCCTTCGCTGCCATCTTCTGGCAACTCTACATGAGTGCAGTAAGAGCAGTAAATGAACAGTGTAGAGTGTAGACAATACAATGCAATATATATATAATATGTAACTACTCCATCATCGAGAAAGAGACCCTTGCTATGCTCCTCGCACTTCAACATTTCCAGTTCATCTCCAGTGATTGTGTACACTGACCCTCTTGTCTTTCTAGCTCAGATGTACAACCACAACTGATGCGTTGGGCTCTGTTGGTGCAAGGTTACGACCTGAAGATCAAGCATAATAAGGGGGATAATGGGAACATCCCAAGCCTCTTATTTGACATTTCCTGCTCCTCGCTCCGCGCTGGAACCGGAAGTTGTTCTGGTCCGCCATCTTGCAGGCCGTCGTAAAGCACTTATTTCAGTACACAGCAGAGAGTCTGTCTGTCAGCAAGAAATACTTTTTACATCACTTATTGTCATTTCCATTCAGTGACATGAGGCTGATAATTACTGAGTTGGGTCATATGAGTTATATCATTTAAAAAAAAATCAATTCAATTTTCAATTCAGTTTTAAATTTGTATAGCACCAATTCATAACAGAAGTTATCTCAGGACACTTTTCAAATAGAGCAGGTCTAGACCGAACTCCTTATAGCATTATTTACAGAGACTTAACAATTCCCAAAACATTGAGACTAATATATATTTTAAGTTCAAAAGACACCATGATCATATTCTGGGTTATTCAATAATGAGTCTACAATCACAATATTAATAAATACACATGTACATAATGAACAAATAATACAAACGCATTCTGCCAGTAGAAGTTATTCCTGTGCCTCTTCTGTCGAGCAGTGCGAGGTTACAGGTGATTTCTTTATTTATTCTGTGTTGTTACTATTCCCATTCATACAACTGCAGGCAGTATGTGATGGGAAGGGCTTCTTAATCAAGACCTTTGTGGTGTATCCTGGCTGTGTTTATGAGTCCTGAACAACAGTACAGTCTACCGAGAGGCTCTGTATCCTCCCTCAGGTGACACTAAAGTAAATTCCTAATACATCAATATTAATAAAAAACTATAAATATAATATTTTTTGATGTTCCACTCTGTACAATTTGTGTGTGTGTTTTGCTTTGTTCTGCCCTGTTCTCTCTAGAACTAGAAGGCAGTCATGTGCTACTGCAAAATGGAGAGGGCGATGTGTGTCATCCAGTCTGATATTTCTCAGTCAAGTTCAAACGCCACCAGCCAGACTACTCCACTTCTTGGTTGTATTCCTCTTCCCCACTAAAGTGTTCATTTGTCTGTATCTTCATCTCTCCCTGTTCAATAATAATAATAATAAAATGAATTGCTTATCAAAACTAAGTTATAAAGTGCAAATAACACATAAATCATAACAATAAAATAAAGTAATAAACAAACCTGTAAAAAAAAAAAAAAAAACATATCAAAACACATTATTTCACTCACATAACATGTTGAAACATTCCATGATAGGACAATGTGTATGGTTGGTGTCAGTGACAATGTGGTTCTTGAAATAAGCAGAAACAACTTGTGGCAGCCACGTGAGTGCTTGTAATGTTATACTGTCATAGCGTGACTTCCTAACACAAGTCCGATAAGTCACACACATGCCAGTTGTAGGTGAAATAAAGTTATTTGGAATATAGGACCCCAATAATCTTGCATTATACATAATTTCTCTTTGGAGTTAACTTCAGGCATGGAATTACAGTGATTCATTCCAAAGAACGGAAACTTTTATATTTATAAGCCACAGTGTTCAATTATTCAGACTTCCAGGAAGGCTGCTCCCATGTATCCTCGATTCCTCGATCTTCAGAGATCGCCCCGGAATCCTCGATCCTTGGTGCAGAAATAAGTTCTTTGGGACGGCCTGCAAGATGGCTGACCATGCCTCTGCCCTGTTCTCTCTGTTGTGCCTTGCCTAGGCACACCGGCAATTAATTTATTCATCAGTCAAGCAGGCGGGGCCAGCGGGCCAAATGCCGAATCAGAGCTGTGTGTTGTGCTGTGTGTTGTGGGTGCATTCGTTGTCCTCTTTCTTACTCCCTCAGTGGAGGGAGGGTGGCCTTTAGTGCTTATTTGCCTAATTACTAGTTTTGTGTTTGTAGTCAGTTATTTTCGCTCTCTTTTAAGAAAGTAGATTTTAGTTGAAACTTTGATCTTTTCCTTTGTAAGTATTCATTTATATTGCTAATAAACATTTGTTTGTATACATAATTCAGTTTTTTCCATGTATCTTTTATCCTGGGTTTATTCTCTAATTGTTACTCCTTCTCTCACAAAGTGGAGAAGATATCAAATAGCTGAAAGGCTTACAGAACTTATCTATACAGTAAGAAGGAATTAAATAGTTCAAACTTACAAAGTAATACTTCCCAACAGTATGAATAGGCAGCAGTAGTGGATCGCATCTGCCCTTCATGGTCCTCACTACAGGCTCTGGGAAGCATAGAGCCAAGAGTCCCCAACCTGAGCCCTGCTGTAAAGGGGTAAAACAGGGTTCCGCATGCCTGAGATGGCAGGTCTCTGTGTTTTAGGTTTTAGTGGTCTGTCAAAGAGAGATGGAAGTCATGAATGGCAATTAACAACCCAAAAGGATGCTAATGCTTTGCTTCTAGCATTTGTCTGCTCCTTCACAATATAGGAAAGGCAAGAGGAAGCCATTTGAAGTTCGTCCACAATTCTGCAACCCCCAGAATCATACTGCATACTGAGGGGCGGCTGTGGCTCAGAGGCAGGTCGTCCCCCAAATCAGAAGTTGTGTTCGATCCCCCCCGCTCTCTGCCACGTGTCGAAGTATCCTTGAGCAAGATACTGAACCCCAAATTGCGCTCCCGATGCATAGAATAGGTGTGGTGAATGTTGTATGAATGAGTTAGTTTCGTGTTCCGATGGACTTTTGCCCCATCGCTGTTGTGAAAGGGTGAATGTGGCAGGGCACGTAGTGTAAAAGCGCTTTGAAGTGGTCGGAAGACTAGAAAGGCGCTATACAAGTACAGGTCCATTTACTGCTACTGGCAGGACAGGTGATGAAGTCAGAAGGACTTATTGGCCCCAGTATTAGCCAGACAGGTCTGTGTAACCATAGCTCTGTGCAACTTAGTAAGCAGGCCACGGACTACCCTGCAACTCCTGCCAGGGCAGGTGGTCTTGGCTGCAGGTGGCAGAATGGAGCTGGAGGGAGAAACTAGCTAAATGGGGGCCGTGACCACCAGCCCTCCTTTTACCGCGCTGCCTACCCACAGGATAGTTAATCATCCCCTGTCTCCAGAAGGGAGGAGACATGCGCTGTTAGCTGACTAATACTGAGCACATTAGCTGACAACTGCAAACATATGCTTCAGGGGCGCTCTGGCATTTAACCACCTCAAGATTATAGCCTCCTAAGTCTTTGTTCAATTTTGCACCAGAAACAGAGAGATGCTGGCTCAGGTTGAGTAGAATTTTCCTACTCGATTTAGCTGACAGAATGTCTGCACCTAGAACGGGTGCCACTGAGCATGTTAGCTCAGGACACCACAAGCAGGTTGCAAGGTTAAACAGGAGGCAGACTCTAGAGGCTTTGTTGGTGGTCCCATAAGTGGACATTTATTTACAGGTGCTTCCAGGAAATGTGCAAAACTAGAAAAAAAAATTGAGAAACTGATTCTAAATCAACAACAAAGAAAAAAAATTACAGCACAAGCCCTGGTGTGTGCCATGCTTTACCTTCCTCACTACAAGGTTAGGCACCCTAACATTCTCCCCTCAAACATATAGAAATATGTCTTACAGGAACGCATCTTCAAAATACATATTATCAGCCATTCAGAAATAAGAAGAAAAAAAGTATAAATAACATAAGCAGCTTCCCCCTCTACCATGGTAGCGCCCATAATGTCATTAATGACATCATCAAGTAGATAACAGACAGGGAATTGCAGGGTGAGCCCGTCCCACACAATGACTTCCTGCAACAGGTAAGACACACAAAAAAAGGACATTTTTCTTAACACAAAACTTAATAAAACATAACATATGTAATGAAAGTACCAATAAAACTAACTGACAACATTGTTTGTTTGTTGTCATTAGTGCGTTAACCTAAGTTTAAGGATGATTGAAATTTCAACACACAATTTATACACACATACAGTATACAGTGTGAACTAGTGCAAGTGGCCTCTCTCTCACATTGTGGTAGGTAGGTTGCCTGTTTTGGGTTTGTATAGTCTAGTGAGATCTGGCAACATAGACACTGTTTGCAGGGGCAGGGACTGGCTGAACAATGCTCACTTCCTTGTTTACCCCCCTAATCAAGAAACTGCACTCAGCACGGGTACCACCAAACGCGTTACTTCACAAAACCACTAGCAATACGCTGGTACAGGGAGTTACAGCCATCGTAGCCGGGAGTAAGTAAAGACAGAAACAATGTCATTGGGACTAGCTTTTTCTTGTCACAAGCAACACTACAGAAAGAATCAGAGAAAAGGAAACAGCAATCAAGGGAAGCTGCCTATAGACACGCGCCCAAACTACCATATAACAGGTAAGCAATTTAATGCTGTACAGATTGTTACACATTGCATCATGACTCAGGTAGAGATCAAACAATCAGTGATTCCACACCAGCATAGGTGCTTTATAGCTAAACCTTAGGGTGTGGCTGGGCAAGTCAGTGTGTCTTAAAAAAATATCCATGCGCCATGACAAGCAGGGGGGTCATTCCCTGTACATACGAAATATGTAACAACTCTCCCAGATTAAAATCTGAAAGTAGGCGTCCCTGAGGTGTATGGTGGCAAACCAAGAAGGAGTCCTGATACCACACCTTTGTCTTCAAAAGTGACCTTAGGTCCTCTAGAGTTTGCAGAGGGCATACAGCCTGAGCAGCCTCTCTTGATGGCTTATGCATCTCCGGCGACACTTCCTGAGCACACCGACGGGCCTCCTGAGCTCTGTGCAGTAAGGCACTGGCCTCTCATCCGCACATGACTGACCGGATAGAGTAGTTCTGACCGATAGAAAAACAAGAGGCAGCTGAACAACACTTGTGTACACATTTAGAGTACTCACCTCCAGCTGGACACCCACCAGTGAGGCCTGTGGGTCAGAGGGCAAGGGTTGTGGGGCAGAGGTACAGGGCTGCTAGGCAGAGGTGGAGGGCTGGGGGCTGGGGCTCCAGTCCTGGACAGCAGCTCTCTCACAGAGTCTCCAGAGGTTCCTAAGTAAAGTAAAGAACCAGGTTAGACTAGTTCAGTTCCACTCCTTTCAGACTGCTGCTGTAACATCAGTGCTTTCTGTCTGTGTTTCCTGTCTAACTGAATGGATCATTGCTTTTCATCCAAAATGGCTTCTGTTCCTGACCCTGCCAGAACTTAGAC